ATACCATTATGAATAATTGCCCATTGTTTTTCAATATTTGTTTTGTAGCTATGTATTTTTATATTTTATTTATGTGAATACTATGTATGTTATATATATATATATTTTTGTTGTTTGAAGTAAGGTGAGGAACCCCCAGTCCCCACTTCCCCTGTCACCTGTCACCCACAGGAAACAGGAAATGGGGACATGGCCTACCTTACATACTCCACATCATTTGTCCCCTTTGTTTAGAGTATATAAAGAGAATTTTCTAAATAAAGAATCAGTATTAACCTACCAAGGTGCCTGAAGAGGCCTCGTCGGCCGAAAGCGCTCGCGCCTAGGTTTTACTGTAGTGTATGAGTGATGTGAGAGTGTTATTACCCTTCAGAAAAATTTAACATCATAACAGTGACAAAGATTTGAAAGAACAATACCATCAGACAGGGAAAGTGAAGTGACAAGTGTTCTGAAAACAGATATAGACGAGAAGAACCAAGAAAGAAGCGCCCTCTACAACATCACAAAGGAGACAGGTTAGAGCTAAGTTAACCCAAAAACATTTGTGGTTCTTAGCAGTTTTTGTTTCTAGTGTTTGTTTGTTTGAGTTGCCTTTGTGTTTTTTACAGAGTTTCCTTTTTTAGGTTTTCTCCCCTTGTTTTTTCTTGTGTCTCCTTTCCCGTTTACTACCGAGTGTTGTTTTTACAGTCTTTTTGTTGTTTTTGTGAAGGGTAGTAGTGTAATAGTTCAGTGCTTGAAGTTTTTCGAGTGAAGTGAAGACCAGTGTTTGTTTGAAGAGCTTGTTTTTAGTTTTTGTTTGAATAAATAAGTGCAACAAAGGTTGTGTTAGTGGTTTAACAGTGAAGTGACAGTGTTTTTACAAAAGTGAAGTGTTTGAAAAGAAAAGGAAGAAATAGAAATAGTATGTGAGAGGTTAGAAAAGAAACATATTGTGTAGCATCCTAACCAAATAACCTTACCTAACCTTCCCCCCCCCTTCCTTTTTGGTACATACCTTTTTTCCTAGCCCAAGGAACATATTCCTACACCTACCCTGTCCAGTAGACCCCTAGCCCAAGTTGGCAATAATTTACAAAACAAAAAATTTAAAAGAAAAGTTAAAAATTAGCCCAATGGAGACTAGGCAAAAGGCGAAAATAAAGGACAGGCAGGAGGTTGATGAAGCTATGAACTCAGGACCCTCGAGAGAGGATGGGGGGCATAGAGATGCTCTCCCTCCTGAGTAATAGTTTGGGAGAGATGAAAAATCAGGTAGATTTGGGTATCAGGAGAAAAGTTAGGTTGAATAAAGAGAGTAACCCCAACATAAACCCCTATGAACTGACAGGAGGATGGACACATCCAGATGCTTGGGGAGGGGCAACTCAGCTATAGAAGCTTCCCCCTAGCCCCCTTGCTCAAGAATATAAAAAAAAGTAGGCTTCCCTGAGGACCCCTTCCCTGATATTCCTATGGACCCCAAGGCCCCCTACCGGATAAAAGAGGGAGAGAAGGCAGATTTCCATAGGTTAACCTATCTATATAAGCAGGAAATTTCAGCTCAGTGTTTGGTAGCCTTCTATGACAAATGTGAAGAAAAAAGAGTTGTAGATAGGTTCACCACGGTTAGTACTAATTACCCCAAGGCAAGAGGTGATTTACCTCCTCTGTGGTTGATAGAAATGGGAGAAAGGATTTGGGGAGATGCAGCTAGGAAATGGCAAGGCCTGGTAGCAGCTTACCTTAGAGCAGAGGCATTGGAGACGAGATGGGACATCATTGATATGAAAAATGAGTTCAAAATTAGATACCCAGAGAATTATAGGGAGATTTGCCATGAAGCATATAGGAGAGCTCTAGAGGTAGAGGATAAGTTTGCGTCCAGGACCCCCCCAGAGGAAAAGTACTTTCTCATTTCCAACCATATGCCCCTAATTAAATATATGAAAGGAAAATCAAAACTGGTACTAACGGAAAAAGAAAAAGAAATGATCCACATATGCATGGGAAAAGAGGTTAGCACTGGGTTGAGTGAGAATAAAAGTGATCCCCCCCCTGGAACAAGAGAACTCATGGTAAATAGAGAGGAAGAGAGTGAAGACTTCCACCTACCCACACCCCCAGAAATGAGTTCTGCTGAAAGTTCCACAGAGGAATGCATACAAACCCCCGAGAGAGGAGAAACTCCAGTAACTGGACCCTGGAGAGTAGCAGAAGAAGCACCTCCACCTCCAGAGGACGTGAACAACCTGACTTGGGAACATTTTCCTGTGATTGAAGACTCCCCAGAAGAACCTCAAACACCAGAAGAAGAGGTGCAAGAACCTTCGATCTTATCTATTGGTCCCCATGAGATTACCTACAAGAGGAAGACCACACAAGATGCTGAGGATACAGACACACATTCCCCCCTGATGAAGGAAGTAAATGCTTGTCAGCACCTCATAGAAAGAGTAATAGGAGCCATCGAAAGAATGGAAAACATAGTAGCTAGGCAAGATGAGCAGCTGACAGCAAGAAGTCAGGGTGGACAGCAACTTCCCCAGCAAAGTGGAACAAGTCAGCCACATCGGTCTTCCTGGCAGGGTTTTCAGGATCATGCCTCACAGGAAAGAAGGAGAAAGAAAAGGAAGCCAAGGAAAAAGCAGAGAAAACAACAAACACAAGAAGACATAAGGGTACAAGAGAATGCCCCACAACAAAGAGAAGCCACAAGTCAGCCCCAGAGGAGAAAGGTTCAGGACACAGGAAACGACGGTGGAACAGAGGCAGGACCAGAGGAGGAACACCTGGAACCCACCCCAACATTACCCACAAAGGAATGCCAGGGTAAACAGGGGAAGAGGTACCCAACAAACACCCCCTCAGGACTTCCAGAGAAGACCCTACCCCCACCAAGGTTTCCGAAGGAGAGAGTGGTACCCCAGCCATCAGAGGAACACATACAGGTGGCAGGGACAGAGGAACCCCCACAAGGAAAGAAGACACAACATGGGAAACAGATACAATGGTTGGGCAGACCATCAAAGAGGAAACTCCCAGTGGGGAACAGGAAGAAGAGAAGGAAGACAGTGGCAAGAAGAAGATCCAAACAATTGGGCATGGAATTGGTGGTAAGTGAAGTCCCCCTTGAAAGAATACACTTCTCGGTTCTACATAAAGGTAGGTCTTTTTGCCAGGCCCCCCAAGGAAAAAGAAACTTTGGGAAGATTTTCAAGCCTCGTTGGAAGATCTACAAGGAACCATAAATAAGAGGTTCACAGCTTCTCTACTGCCTGGAGCATCTACAGGAGAAACCAAGGAAAAGAAAAAACTTCCACAACAATTACCCTCCAAGAAAATGAAATCCCTCCCACCTCGTAAGATGCCAGGACTTGAAAATGTGATTAAGTGTGAACTATTTGAAGTGTATCAGGCATGGGAAAAGAAAGAGAGACCCAACCTAACAAAAGAGGAACACAAAGCATTAAAAGAATTAGCAGAAAATCCAGACATAGTTATTAAAAAAGCAGATAAAGATGGTGCTTTGGTGGTCATGAAAACTAACAATTATATAGCTATGGGTGATAAGCATCTTATGGATAAAGAAACATATATTGAATTGGATAATCCAGAGGAGGCTCTAGCAACGGTACAGAGGGAAAGTAAGTTGTTAGTTAATCGTTTTTTTACTCTTGACAGGCCAGGTAAAGAAGGAAGGAAGAGAAGGAGTTTTTCGGCAGGACAGAGAGATGCCCTCCTAGAGCATAAACCCAGCATTCCACACTGGTATGTCCTCCCCAAAACTCATAAGCCTTTGGACCATGTTACAGGTGCATGGCCAGGGCGCCCGGTGTTGAGTGGCTGCAGCTCCCCAACCAGACCTGTAGACCGCCTTCTAACCACTTATTTGACCCCTCTCCTTGATCTTTTACCAGAAAGACTGCAGGACACGACCTCCTTTCTACAGAAAATGAGAGATGCAAAAAGATACCCAGGAGCCATCTTATTTTCATTTGATATTGTCTCTCTTTTACCCCTCTATCCCACAGGAGGAAGCAGCTTATGTGGTAGCAAATTTCTATGAGCAGAACTTCTCTTATGTGGAGGAGAGACTTTTTTCAGATTTCAACATGGCAGCACCCCCACCATACCTCATAAAGGAAGGTATTGACCACGTTCTGGGAGGCACCCTGCTGAGGTTCAACAACAGGTTCTTCAGACAAGGAAAGGGAACAGCCATAGGAGCCTCAGTATCGGTGGCGGTAGCTGAGATTTTTGTGCATGCCAGTATTGAATCGAAAAGAAAGAAATTAAATAAACAACCAGAGATTTTTTACCGATATATTGATGACATATTTGGTATTTTTCTAGGCACAGAAGAGGAACTCCAGGCTTACCATGAAGGACTGAACAACATTCATCCGGACCTGCAGTTCACTCTGGAATTCAGCCGAGAGAAACTACCTTTCTTGGACACCCTGGTGTATCTTGATGAAGATGGAGGCCCACAAACTACGGTTTTTTACAAGCCTTCTAATACACATCAGTACCTCCATTATATGTCAAATCATCATCCAAATCTAATGAAATCTCTCCCTTTCTCACAGGCTCTCAGGATCAAAAGAATTGTGAGTGAGGAACATAAGCTGGAAACGGCTCTACAAGAGATGACAGGGTTCTTCAAGGCGAGAGGATATGACAACAGATGTCTCAACTCAGCCTTGGAGAGAGTGGGCAATTTACAAAGAGACCAACTACTCATAAGAAAGGTGAGAGATAACCATAACAGAATAATCTTTCCTTTATTATATTCCCCAGCATTGGCAGGTCCAGTGAGGCAGTTCCTGAACGAAATATGGGCATGGATCAAAGAAAATTCCAGGGACACACCCTGGGAAACAGCCTTCAGGACCCCCCCACC